TCGTTGATGAACAGGGTGGATATGATGCAGATGTGGGGGCGCGGGTAGGCAAAGCAAGAGCAGCATATTTACAACTGAGGAACATCTGGAACTCAAAGCAACTGTCAACCAACACCAAGGTCAGGATTTTCAATACAAATGTCAAGACAGTTCTACTGTATGAGGCAGAGACCTGGAGAACTACGAAAGCCATCATCCAGAAGATACAGGTGTTTATTAACAATTGTCTACGCAAAATACTTCAGATCCATTGGCCGGACACTATTAGCAACAACGTACTGTGGGAGAGAACAAACCAGATTTCGGCGGAGGAAGAAATCAGGAAGAAGCGCTGGAAGTGGATAAGACACATACAGAAAAAAGCACCCAACTGTGTCACAAGGCAAGCACTCAGATTGAATTCTCAAGGCCGAAGGAGGTGGAGAGAAAGTCCAAAGACACATTTCGTCGAGAAATGGAGACAGAACTGAGAAAAATAAACAAAAAATCGAGTAGAACTGGAAAGGGAGGTCCAAGACAGAGTGGTTTGGAGAATGCTGATCTGCGGCCTATGCTCCATTGGGAGTAACAGACGTAAGCGATTGAGTGAGTAATATAAGGTAACATTTAACAAGGACCACGCCCGCAAGTCCGAGTCATGCCATCCGATCAACTCGAAATAATTCAATTCATTGTTCCCGCCTTCTCCATCATTGCGTTTTCCACAGCGTTAAATATTGAACGTCTATTTTCCCAAGTGTCTCCAGTTCAACTTTGAGGATTGTATGATTAAGGCTCATCGCCACTATAATCTAACGGAAAAAATACGCTGAAAGCTATCTCGCAGCATTTTGTTAGACAGTTATGTCGTTTATTTTTTCCTCTCTCTGTCGTGTAGTTTTGTCTTTATTCATATCTCTTTCAAGTGCAATTTACGTTCTTCAATCTTCCTCGTCCGAGCTTTTATTATGTGACCATGGTAAAAGACCTACCCTTTGTTACCTATTTTTTCTGTTGCATGTTGCCGGACTATTGTCGGTAAGATCGTATTCGACTAAACTCAAAGTCACGGAGTGGTTAAGATTGTGACTATTAACGCGAAAACTCAACTTCGAAAATGGTTTGTTACCTCTTGAACCAAGATTCAGATGTGACAGCAGCATCAGAATCAAAGTGAAACTCTCTCACAGAGTTTGTCAGTGATTCGGTAGTCCAGTTCCTTAGTTTGAACACCTGTACTCCAGTTTATTGATATGACAACATTTGTGCCATCGTTTCGATCGTTTTTAGTCGTCGTGCCTGAGATTCTTTTTGCTGCTGCAAAGTAGATTTAAGCTGATCTGGCCAAACGGACATTCTACATTTTTGTTTGACGAAGTCATTATCTCCCGAAACTGTCGTCACAGGCGATGTTCAATATCTGAAACTGACACATAGTGTCCCTTCTCAACTGACTACTTCAGCGAGAACATAAGAGTGGGCGAGAAAGTGTATTGGGCTACGGAATAAAATGCACAGATACTCATTCATATTGATCTGTCACTCTAATCCTTAAGAAATCGGTACGTTTCGTAGTCAACGAAATGCAGTTGCCCTTTAGGTCACTTTTGATTTTCAGAGACTGAACTTCTCACTAGGCTACTTTTAACTGACTCTACATATCAGATACACATGCCGCCAACACTCTTATACTTTTTATCGACTTAATTCGTGTTTCGGCTCCGTACAGTAGGACTGCCTTGAAGATCGTATCTAAGGTTTTGAACTTCATGGTAGTTGAAAGTTGTCTTGAGTTTTATGTTCTTCAGGTGTAGAAGTGCTGCTCATGCTTTGCCAATTCTTCACTTCACATCCTCATCAGATCTCTCTTCGTTGTCAGTGAGACAGCCCAGGTACGTGGATTTTTTCACATCCTCCAGAGCTTCTCCATTTAATGTGATTACGTTGGTGTGCCAAATGTTGAATGTGAGGATCTTGCATTTTCTTTTGTGTATGTTGAGGCATGTTGATGCAGAGATTGCTGCTACACGGATTGTCCTCATATGCATTTGCCCATGTGTATGGATAGAAGTATCAGGTCATCTTTGACGCTCAAATCATCTAGTTGCATCTGAGCTCTCCATTGTATTCCATGCTTCCCTCTGGTCCTCACTTCGAATGCATCTGTGGGTTGTCCTTCATGCAATTAATTAGGACTTTCGTGGCATCAATCCAAACTATGCACAAACACTTAATCTAACGTCATATCTTACTGCAATAATAATTTTTTCTTGATTATTTTCTATTTCGTTTTTGTTACTAATTTGACGATACATACATGGTTGTATATTCTTGTTCTGTGTTCATATACACGCCTATTGAACTGTTCACTTATTTCACGTCTCTTTTATTTCTATTGCCTTATTTTCTCTCTTTCCTTCTTTAAACTCAATTCAATATTCTTCTCAGTTACTCATAACCTGATTAAACATTATTATTCCATTCTCATTATAACTTCTCTTTTTCAAATATAGCAAATGTAGTGCTAACATTATTGCATTTTTGATGAAACCCGAAATGGTTTCTTCACAACATTTATGTACCCATAAGATGTTTGCGAATAACAATAATAATACATGACTTCTCAGTGTAGTCTGTCGTATGAATTCCGTATGATTTTGACGATTTTCTCAGGTACATCATGATGTCGAAGAATTTTTCGTAAGGTTTTCCTATTTACGATGTCAAATGCCTCAACATAATCAGGCAAGTTGATGTATGATGACGAGTTTTTTTGATGGATTGTTCAAGATGATCCATAGTGTCGCGATTTGGTCTGTGTACGACCGGTCCTTACGTAATCCAGCCTGTTGACCTCGAAGTTGGGCGTCTACTGGATCTTTCATACAGTTCAGAAACACTGTTCAAAGCTTTTTCTGGTACCGTTAGTAGTGTGGCGACTCTGTAGTTCTCACATTTGCTCCGCTCATTCTTTGATATATTGATGAGAAATCTTTACTTCCGGTCCTTTTGCACTTGTTCTTCCTCCTGAGTCTTCCATAATCGAACGTGGAGTATGTTTCCAGTGACTTTTGTGTCTGACTTTTATTCATAATAAATATGTTGTTCTATCTCCAGCCTAAATGTTTCATCCATCACGTGTAGACAGTTGTTACGATAGGACGAGCCAGTGTAAAGAATGATATGGATTCCACGAAATATATCATATATTATACAGTGAAATCATGGAAAAATCTACAATTTTAAGGCTAGGTCCATCATTGGGACAGTACTAATAACGAAGTAGACTATAATTCTACAGATCTACCTGGTTCTCCGTGGTGTGATCCGGTGAGATCCATGAAGCTTTGTGTACGCATATGTGACGGAATATTGTGCCGCCTAAAATCAATTTGTTGAATGCACAGTGGTTTGTGTATCTCTCCCAGTCCATATCCGGTGTTGTCGATTTCAACTTTGACGTTTAGGTCTCCCATCAGGATGGAGAGATCCTTTCTTGGGCACTTCACTGTGATTGATTGCAGCATCTTGTAGAACTGATCGTTATCATCTTCATTGCTATCACTTGTGGGTGCATAACGTTGGATAGCATTCATTGTAATCCCCTCATTTGTTGTGAAGGATGCTTTAATGATCCTGGGTCAATGAGCTTCCCATCCTATAAGCGCATTACGTGCTTCTTTGAACAGCATCAGAGCAACTCACTGAGTGTGTAGAGCATTCTCCCTTCGCGGGTAACATTTGCCGTCCAGCTTGGGTCCCCTGGGTTTCGCTAATTCCGAGAACCGCCAACTTGTATTTCCATAACTATTTGATTGGTCCTTCAGGTTTCCCACATTGTCCGGACGTTCGATGTATCTATATTAATTGTTGCTATGGTTATTAGAAGGGGTACCGACCTCGTGACTTCCGAAGAATCTCAGCTTTTACCATGAAGCGTCATAATTCTTCTAAAAATGATCATTGAACTCCGAGGACAGAATTCAATTGGTTTAAATTGTTTTTTCTGGTAAGCGCCTTTTAGCAAGTTTTTTTCTACGGGATGAAGTGGCTGATCCCACACCGAACTCTCCTTCTTTACTCGGTTTTGAATTCTGAAGTATTCTTAAAGTGCTACTTGTGTAGTTAGTTGCACACTAATTGGAAAACAATTCTATGTTAACTATGCCTACAAAACAATCTTCCCATAACGCTCGATTTATCGCATTATTTTTTCTCACACTGAGACCCACCAAACATACTGCCTGATAATGTGATAGCTGCTGCTGTTAAGAGACATGTACGGTCAAAGAAGTGCTACTGAGCTTTAATCAAACCATCCTGCAGTCAAGTCAATAAGTGTCAAGCAGTTCATTGATCTTCGTTGAGGTCACGAACAACTAACGCGCATAGGTAATTTGTTCGCCATGGACTGGAATATGCAGCAATGATCAAAATCTGTTCCTTGTACCATTCTTACTAACAAACTTCTGTTATAACGTCGTTTTGTGTTGCATGGTCATCAAAGCAGCCATCAGGCTTGCTTACGACGAAAGGGTAATCCACGTTAGGTACTAGACACAAGGTGTGACTTCGACGTTAGTTGGTTGGTCACACCACTCCCGTTCAACTAGAGTAGGCTCCCAGTAATTTGGCGCAGGTCAAACACGTTGGTGAACCACAAATCCTAAAACCCTGAGACAAATTCAGTCAACCGAGCAACAAAACGTACAGTTCAACAAACAACCAAGCTGACTAGGATTGGTACAGTTGGGTGGCTAGACTATCACCCACCGACACTGTCAAGTACATGGAGCCGTATCGAAACAACAGTATATTAATTGATCTATACAAATTCATGGAGAAGATATTAGAAAAATTGCAATGCACACATTGAATACGTATAACTACTAGCTCAGAGAAATTTAAATATTTTCATTTTACTTTGTCGAAGATATAAAAATTTTTCTTAGAGCGAAAATAGACGAAAATTTAATCTATCAACTTGTTCTTGTTCGTTGAGACAATATTGGATATCGGATATATCTGACTGAACTTTACGACTGCCGCGTTACCGGGATGGAATTAATGTAGTGAAGCAGTCAGTTTCATACGTCGTGTACATGCAAGGGGATAAAGCTGTTCGAAATTGTAAAATGTCACTTGGGTTTACATATTTGTAGACGGAATATAAAGTAGCCATAATCTTAGGCAATATAGTGGGTTGACTTAACGAATATTTAGTGAGTAACAATGGGCGGTGTGACTATAATTTATGGACGACCTTTTAGCAACGCTCGAGTGACCTTGGGAGTGTCCACTTGATAACTATGACTAAATGAGGATTATAAACCAGTGTGCGGAGTCAAAATTATGATTTACAATTGATTATTAGGTTTATGAATTAGATTTAGGGTTTTCATAATGAACTAACCTCAGCTATAATCCAAAAGCTCTGTTTAACCAAATAGATGACTGAATTTTGCTCTAAAATTTGGGGCCTGCTATAAATTAAAGTCTTGCCGCGGTTAATAGGCTATTTAATCACTTCGCAATAGTTTATTTAGACACCAAGATGAATTTCTCGGTGTTTCTACTTTGTTGATGTGAAATTACTTTCTTTGCGACATTGGTGTCATAAGCATAAGGCTCTTATGCCTGACTAACGGGAGATATTTGGTGTTGCCTTTCTTAAGAAAGGCAAACAATTGTTTGCAGACAACACAAAGGTTCGGGTGATATTAGATAGTAATGCTAGTTATCTTGGTCTCTAGGCTGATATAGATGAGTAACCCTGTTTTTACTAAAGGTATTTGGAGACCAGTCCCAAATAGGATGAAGCGCGCGTTTTGTGTTCCACGGTTGGCCACTGTCCAAGTCTGCTTATATTGCTTGTGACTGTATGGCAACAGTGGGTAGTTTGCGAATGAGGCACACTTGCCAAAGGAGATTGTTTAGTTGCAGTCCTTATCATCAGTCGTAAGATCCAAACAACCAATACAAATGAATTAAAATTCGTCCCAGTGACTAACCGGACTTAGTAGCTTAGCGGATAACGCAATAACAGGCGGCACTAGGTTCAAGTGCTAGAATTAACATCAACTCTGTAATGCATGTATAACCAGCTAACGAGTCCTAAATAGGATGCATCGCTCGTCCTGAATTCCGTTGCCAGCCACCATTTAACTCTGATGATAACGTAAGTTACTTATCAACCAGATTTATAAAATAGGCTCTAAATTATACTGTTTATTTAAATGCTATTGATATTACCTGACTTCCCGTAAAAATAAGATGAACCAAGGTTCTTACCTGTGGTTTTATTATTTGAGAGTCAAGTAATCCAAACATATATCTGGTGCTCAAAGACTGATGGTGATACATTAATTCATGCATACGTAGACTGTTACACAAGTTAGTGCTAGGAATCACGCATTTAATTATCTTTTTTTACATATTCATATGTTAAATTCATTATATTTCGCTTCTATCGCGTTTCGTACCATCATCAACTGTGTTGACTTTGTTTACCAAACATGATTTGCTTTTTATTACAGGGTCTGTGTTTCATTATCAATCATTGTCGTCAGTCGTTAAACCTTATATTAATTTAAATCGTGAATAGCACTTTTCTGAAACTTCATAATGACGGTCTTGGGTGAAGAGTGGTTTGCTGTTGGAGACATTTATTTCAGGTACTTGCTGATTTGATTTTTATTGTATTGTAGAAAGCTTCATCTTTACGATATGCCGTGGGGTATGGGATTTTCAATATCACAATTCAAGACATCGATTTGTCAGTATTCTGGTTATATCGGTAGGGATATTTTTACTAGTAGTTTAAGTTCACTTAGCAATGTATTTGGATGGCCAAGCGGGAACAAAACCTATACTTCAAATATATACATCATCAGGCAAACTCGTTTCCCAAAGTGTTGTGAGTTGATTTCAACTTTATTTGTTAGTTCGGAATTGAATGTGTAAATTTATCTTTTAATTAACATGACAATTAATACTCAGTGTCCTGCAATACTTTCTGTTTGAGATCTTATGGTTAGAAGAAAGTTATTCACACTGTAGCAAATCCAGAAGAAGATAATGTTACAATCCTAGATTTGTACACTAAGACCTAGGTAAGGATTCAAAATAACTAGTACCAACTGAAAACATTGAAAAAAGAGCCCAGGACAGAGTTGTTTGGAGAATTCTGGTCAGCGGCCTATGCTCACGCGTGGGGTAACAGGCGTAGGCAAGAAATGGGTTCATATTTTTTATCTGACCGTAGAGATGGCCGTGTTTTTAACTGCAGATGAGAGCGTTGAACAGTGTTTTTTTATTTGAAACCAAACAAATTACAACAATAGTTGTGTCGTGAAGTGCTCTGAAGTTCACCTGTTTGTAGAAGCCATTAAACATCAATTACAAGATGGAACATAACTATCATTGAAGGGATTACTTGAATATTACTCCTTATAGTGAAGCCCTTATGTAGACTGATCGTTTATTGTTTGACGTACTTGTGTCCATATTCCTAAACATACAGAAGAGACATATATCGAGGTAAATTTTCCATTTTTGAAATAAATATGCACATCAAGTGTACTTATGAGGAAAAACTATCCGGACGAGTTTTATATTAATTTCCTAGCGTCGTTCAAACTAGCCTGTGCACAATTACCAACTTTGACTGGCGGAAAGAGGCTAAAAGAAGTAAACTACGTACAAATTGTTAGCTAAAATGGCTTGCTCAAAAAGCTATAATATTGGATTTTTAAAAAAAAGCTATATCCAATATATTATTTTCATATAGTTTTTAGATATTAGTTCGAAATTACTGACTAAATCGAGACATTGGTTAATGTGTAGATTTTAAAGGTAAAAGTAGTCTGTTTGGTGTGCTAGATTGCAAAGCCCCTTAACTAAAGTGTTTTAAGTTTCACTTCACGGGACCACTTAGTATGTTGACCTATGCATTCTGATTAAATACGATAACCCCATTCGGCTTTGTAGATTGGAGCTTTATTTCTTTTGTCTTCATCAGTACAAAAAGACACTTGGTAATTATCGATAGAACACTGAACTATTTTTGTGGAGTTTGGAATCTGCCCCTAATAGAGCTGAGTATATCCTTATGAAAGTCATGAACTAATGCATATCTGTTACAAGTCGTACATTTATTATAGCTAAATGAAATCCATGTTCACAATATGTAAGCGAATTTGTTGATTACCATTGTTTAGAACAATTTGAGAAACCCTTGTTGAGATGGTAGATTGGCAGGTAGTCATAATATGTCTGTCTTTCCGTGCCAAAATAATTCCCGGCCGTATTGTAAGCTAGAGTAATTGAAAGTAGTTAAGTTGTTATATTTTTTGATGTTTGATTTTCTGGAAACAATGATGTAATTAAAAAGTTTTCATTGTTATCACATTTAATAGAAACTGACCCATTGTCACTTGTCCAACTTCTTATCTAGATTTACTTTTCGACATTGAATTCATTCCATAATATGAAAAAATTAAACTTCCTCTTTTTCAGTGGAAAGATGCACCTGGTATATTGCTTGGTTGGACTTTGTCAGAGGATTTATTAGTTATCCAAAAAACAGGATTCACTACCATATTAGATCATCAGGGCAAGTTTGTTCGACGTTTTAGTATGGGACCTGAAGCTGAAGAAAGAGAAATAATTAGTGCTAAGCTTTTTACCATTGATTATGTAAGTCTTGCCGTATTGATACTATTAGTATGAATTAGTTATTGTTCTCATCTGGACTTTCCGAATCCAGATTTAATAGATGTGTCACAAACTTCTTAATTACTGAATTTTCTGTGAAACAGCGTAACTGTATTTAACAGAAACAATGTATAGTTAATAGGTTGACAGTTTCTGAATACACTTGTATTAGTGAGCTGTTTTTAGAAATTTCAAATGTCCTACAGTAATTTCATACGTCAAATAGCTCAGTATTATATTATAGGGTATATATCCTGAATTGCTAGCTAGAGTTTTGAGAATCATAGACAGGATTTCCATCGCATTATAGCTTGATATAATCTTCAGTTTGCCATAAAACAGCATCAACGAATGTTATCAACCTCTGGCGAAAAGTTATAAAAGGTCAGCTTATTTTATAAATCCTTCCTAAACCAATCAACACTCAGGAATTCAGCTTGGTAATTTCAAAACAATAAACTATTGCACTGGTTGCACTATGTGGTTTCCACCAGGACTGCTTAATTTCTGTGTAAATATGTCATAACTATGTTAGCAGGTGTGACAATTTTTGAATCTCAACCCATTTTACCAGATATGCAACTGCTTTGTTTGATCAGAAATTTCTGAACATATAAAAAAGAATTGTGCATTGAAACACCACCGAAACAAGTGATGGAGGATTGTTTCCTCTTAACTTATCAGATCTCGAAAGAAGAATCTTTGTAAGTACTGGTTTACTGAGAACGAAAATTATCAACATTCCAAAGCCTCTTACAACTAACATTGACCTCCTACAAAGGGTTCCTCTTTTTTTATCCTCCTTTATTTAATTTAGACCAAAGCTAAAAAGTTAGTGTACCTCTAATTTTAACCAGTTTCTGAAACTTTTTATATGCTTCAAACGGTGTGCATAATGGACTTCTAAGGGTGTGAAAATTATAGCCCAACCATCTATGAGCGCGAAATATTGCTAATTTTTGCCTGTTACTTTTTTGGCATGTCCAACGCTTTGTCTTTATTAAAGTCAAATGGTGCCTTCAAATTAGCTATTTGACTTTACCTTCGCTCACTATTTCATAGTCGTAATTAATAATAATTAATTCATGTTAATATATATATATATATATATATATATATATATATATATAGAACTTGTTGCTTTCAATATTAATGCAGGACATCTATTTTTTAGAATACAGGAATAGCTGTTCTTACCGGTGGAAACCACATATATGTAACTACCAGTATCGAAACTCCACGTATGCGACGCCTTGTAGAATTACCTGGACCAGTAAAGTCTTTGTCACATTGGACTATTGTCACAACACCTCTTGAAACTGGAACACCTGATTCTTTTCGAAGCCCATGGGTGATGTTTTCAAACAAAAAGAATTTGTACCGAGCTGACTTTGGAACAGTTGAAGGTGTAAGTACTTCCAAGCTTTGAATTGTCTCAAACCTCACAGTGAATCAGAAAGGGAGCTATTAGTTGTGATGCGTAGGATTACAAAAATAGAAATTATTAAATTATTTTATTGCTCCCATCCACGATGCAGGATTTCAATGAGTACATATTTGCTTAAACATAGTCTGAACCTATGTTTCCTTCAGATTTATCGGCCATCGTTTGATATTCATTACTTTCCTAAACCCTGTGTGTAATATTAGTCTTATCTGTTATTTCTGCACCAGTCAATATCAGTCACACTCAATAAAGCGACTATCATTACTACTTTACTCAGGAATCTGCTTGGTACTTGTTTCTTCTTGGAGTTTACTCTCATCAGAATGTCAACTTATTTTACAATAAATGCTCCTTTTCCTTATATTATAGACGTGAATATTAAACTTTGTGACTTTAGTTTACCGTCAATAACTTCGTCTAGCACGACTTCAAGATACTCATCGTTCTATATTCTGGAATGCTATGGTTCTCAAGTGCACACTGTCCACTATTATTTAGTAAAACTAAATTAGTTTCTCATTCACCAACCATTTCCCCCACTTTTCTTTTTTTATCACTTAACGTAATTTCTATCGATAAGTAAATTAAAATCAGTTTTATTTTTATCAAACTCCTAAATCATTTAAATATAAGTCCCCCTTATACGATAGAGATGGATTTTAGCAGCCTGAATAATTAGAATTTAATGTCGGTTGCTGACAAAATAGTATCTATTTAAAAAAAACACTCAACTGTTTTCTACGTCAACTGTTGCTGCGTGTACCCACTAAACAGTTAGTTAATCATAATAAACTTAAAGCCTGGCACAAATATACAGTAATCTAAGACGCTCTATCACGTTGAGGTAGCGAGATGAAGGCAACAAGACGAATTGTGAAAGGCATAATGAAGGATATTAATCGAAAGAAGACAAAAGGAGGAGTAATGATGAATGAATTATGGAGCTTAAGATCTAGAAAGTTAGAGGAAATTCATCCGCACCATTGTTATTGTTTCTAAGCGATGTCATCCAACATGCCCAGCAACTGATCGTAGTTGTTGTGCATAGCCCAGTCAGGCAGTCTGCATCTACCAGCATGGTTCAGATCAGTAACCAGTGTCCTCGTGAACTGATGCCAAGCCTTAGTTTGACCACCCCTACTTTTTTCCCAACTTACATCTACACCAGCTAATATCACGCGTCGAGGTAAGCCATGGCTAGACATGTGCAACACGTTCCAACCACCTCAGATGATGGGAATTCAACATACTAAACAATGTTTTATTCATGAGGTTTTCCTCAAATATATATATTTTTTCTCTACTATCCAGATTGATTTGTCAAAGCTTACTAGGTCAACTGGTTCTGATATTTACCTATTGTCTATATCTTTGAATATGCAATTTGTTGCAATTTATTTAACCAATGGTGAATTGTTAATTACCAATACACGATTTACTGAATTACATTCACATATTGACTTGACCCAACGTATATCAGTTATGTTGGTGAATAATAATAATTCAGCTAATCAAAAATTCAATCATCCTAAAACGATGCTTTGGTTAACTAATTCAGCTGTTGTGCTTCAATGGAATAATTTAATTGCTATTATAAGTACACAGTCAGATATTTATGAAACATTTTATGCTGATGATATATTCTTAGCACAAGAGGTAAGTAATATATCTTATTTGTGTGTATGGGCAATATGTGTTTCAATTGACGAGGCTATATTCAATCTTTATTGATTAGCATCGATGTTTTTAGTACTATTAACAACAATACGATTTTCAGTAATAGATTAATTAAGCATCTTAATATCTGCTCGGTACGTATTGATACTTCCGACAGTTGAATGAGTAATCTTAAGATTATTCATTTGTAGTGTTGATGAGTTTGGTCTCTCTTTATACAAACCAACTCATAAAGGTTAAATATCGTGAAATGATGAAAGGTATTTCAAGAATACATATCACATTTCTTGTTTTCTTTCTCAGTCTATTATTCATTACTTCATAACACTAGTAGTTAGTTATCTCATTGTTGATATTAGAGCCTAAATTGTGATCAGTCTTTATTGGTATATCCACCATATCCTGGCGGTCCATCCAGGCTATCTGAACTCAGTGAATAACCTGTTGGGTGATTAGAGCAACGGTTGTTGTGTAAACAGAAACACTGGAGTAAAAGTACATCCAGCTGACTAGCCCAAAGTGGAATGAAAACTACTCCTTACCACAATTCGAAATATGGCTACTTTAGTTCTAGTCATAATTCTGCAATTTTCAAATAAAATTATTTTTTCATCCCATATTAGAATAGTATTCATGATAAATTTTATTACCAGTGACTGAAAAATAGTTTCATCTTTTACTAGATGTTTCATTATCCGAGGAAATGTGGTTAATTGTGTTGCATCGAAAACTAGATATCAATGGAATGTTTATTTGGTGAAATGAATTAGTTATCAGTCCATTGTATCGTGAAGGAATCAGTTACTATATTACACATTGGTAAAGTATCCAACATTGGGATAAAAACGAAATCCTCCCCAATTCTCCGACTTCTGTCAGCTCTTCTAGATGATAGTAATGTTTTATGAAAGCTGTTTTTTTTAAACAAAGTCCTCTCAATATCATTCAAACTAAATTTCGATTGATGTTGAAATATTCCAATTCTCATCATGTTTTTTTCTGTCTTATTTTTCTTTATTAACAAACGTACACACATATTGTATCATTAGATTGATGGAATTCGCATTCTATCACCTACATCACACGAATTATTACAACGTGTACCATCCCCATTAGAATCACTTGGACGTATTGGAGCATCGTGTCCAGCCACATGGTTATTGTCTGCAAGTAAGAGTTTAAAAATCAATTGTGGACGTACTAATGATTATTTATTGCCTATTAAACAACCTAATCAAATGATTGATGCAATATCACACTGTATTGAAGCAGCATGTCATGCAACTGTTGATCCTATTTGTCAACAAGAACTACTGGAATCTGCTCATTTAGGTCGAGGATTATTATCAGCTATGGTGAATACTACTCCTAATGCTACTATTTCTTCTACCACTGTTACTAACAATAACAATACAGGTCATTATTCAATTGAGGCTAAATTGAAAGAACTGTGAGTTTGTTTGTTTTCTGCACATAATTACTCAGTTAAAGAATTTCTTTTGTTTAAGATAATTCAGTAGGTTGTACAAATACTGTATTTTAACAAAATATGATAGAATAACTTATCAGCGATTGTGATTTTTTGAGCTTTATGGTTTAATCGTGAGGCTTTCATTGCCTTCCTCGACAATATTATCTAATTCAAAATGATGTAAGCTTTTGAAATTCCTTAACGACTAGCAGCTTGTTTTTAAAAAAAATTGAATATGATTAATTGCTCCTGATAATTGTGCTGATACAGTGTCTACATAAAATCATTTCGATAGTTTTTTCCCTTTAGATCTTATTGTTGATTCTGGTTTTGTTTATCATTTTCCGGATTGGTTGGTAAATTGAGTCCCATACTAGGATGAAATAGCCGTCCAATAATTCTGGGTTTCCAATCGTGGTTTAACATTGACCGGTTCATGATTTCAATAAAACTCAACAATCTCCACAACTCTATACTGAAATTGAGTTATCTTCAATACCACTAGTTTCTCGCTCCTACTCCTTATTCTTACCTAAAAAATGTATCGGAGACTTTATGGAATGATTGCATAAATCCGCTGAATATTTTAGTGTTACTGAAATTCCCCGTGAAATTCAACAGTCGATCGTAGAAGAGTATTTGTTTTCTGTGATTTTAGCCTACTATAAAATCGCTGGAGAATAGTTTTAATAAATCTTGTTTCATTTTTTTTATTTGTCCTGCTTTGATGAGCTTGTTTATGATCTTAAATATAAAGTTGTCGACATTTTGATTGGATTTCTTGGTGATGACTAATACATACTTTTATTCTTAAGCAATTCAACTTTATTAACGTAGTCGTCTTTGTAAATATCTATTGTGGTGTATCCTTTATCAACTTCAATCGTAACTATGTCCATCCTATTTCTGATATCTTTTAGCGCTTTATACTCTTCTGTGGTTAGTTGACTGGCGTTTTCTTCTGTTTAGCCAGAGGTACCACCATCTTATTTCCACAAATCCTTATAGTTGATATCCAATGGTTGACTGCAGTACACAGAGGAATTCTAGTTTTGAAGATTTTTCTGTTTTGCATTTCAACTTTTAACGTAGATATTTTACTGAGGTTGTTTTGAGAAACGGATATCATAAGCGTATGTTTTTTCTTGTTGGTGGATTCAAGATTTTGATTAGATTGTCTTTAAAGGTGTATATTCTCTATTTTTTGTGTTATTTTACTTGATTTCTCAATCGCGATTGTCAAATCTTTAGAGTATTCCGGTTTCTATGTCCCCTCAAGCTTTTCCTTTTGCTCATGGTATTTAACAGTCTTTTGATAGGTATGGATTATCATTAGTCGTACAATTTGATTTCCACCTTGTTGTTCGGTCATTCTGCTGAAGTGTAACATCGATTGTGTGGCACGTAACACAGCCACTTTCGTTGGTACAGGTTCACAACGTCATAAACAGACTTACCATCATCAGTTATACTTGACACCTCATCGCAACATTTCGCACTTGGTTGCTCCATATCATTTAGTCAGTGGTAGAAAGACATATGATCAAATACATGACTTAAATTAATCTTCTCATTCTTAGTGGTCAAGTTCCAACGTAGAGTACCCCACCGAAAACTGTTGTGGATTATATTTTCCTTCTGATTGGCGGTAGGATATATTCCCGACACTGTTAAAGCTGTAAGTTCGTAAATGACTTATTCTAATCTATTAAGTTATCCATGACTCATTCAATAGTTTTATTTTACTCCTAAGCCTTAACTGTGTCTAGCTAATCTGGTTCAACAGCATATTAATAATGTATTCCAATACTTTGAATTTGCTAATTTTACATAAAAATTAAGTAGTTACTTTTCGGTTCCATTTGCATCATAATTTTATTGTTTCTTATAGCGCGGATCATGCTGCAAAGGTTTGTCAAACTTTGCGTTTGTTGAATAGCTTAGCTGTTCCATGGTTAGGTATTGCACTAACGTGGCGTCAGTTTCGTGAATTAGGACCAAACAAATTGTTTGAACGTTTATTGATACGCCGTCATTACCCAATGGCGATTGAACTTGTTCGAATCCATCAAAAACATAAATGGCCAATAAGCATTCTAGAAGAAAGTCAAAGCAATTATGGGACATGCACATTTACTCGTTTACTTGCTCATTGGGCATGCAATAGTTCTATAACATCTTCAGGAGCAGCTACATTGATATCAGAACGGGTAGCAGCTATTGTGGATAAGTTATTCAACAATTCATCAGAGAGCAAATCTAAGTCTAGTAATCATCATGCCAACTATTACAGTACCTCTATTCCTCATTTGGACTTCGCTGATGTAGCTAGTCAAGCTATTTCAGCTGGTCGAGAAACAGTTGCGGAGCAAATATTAGAATATGAGCCACGCGCTTGGCGTCAGGTACCATTACTTTTAAAATTATCTCGTTATAATCGTGCATTAGTTCGAGCAGTAGAGACTGGAAATCCTGAACTAATTACGACAGTTGTGGTAGCATTGCAAGAGCAAAGTAAATTACCACCGGCAGATCTTGCAATGGTACTTCGTCGGCATCCAATAGCTCTGGCCATATATCAAGAGACATTAGAACAAGCTGATCATTCTAAATCTGGTTCTGAAAATTCAACAAAAGCTGCTCTTTTAAATTTTGATCATGAAAATGATCATGCTTCAGAAGCTAAAAAAATTGTTCTCTCAGCCTATCAAGAAAATGTAAGTTGTTCTCTTCTGTTATTTTCTACTTTTCACTCATTTTAAAATATTTGGTTTCCGTGAAGTTGAGTAATCCTTTTTCCAAGTCTCAAACTTCTATGTATGGTTGGAACCACTTAAGCTACTTCTGTTAGCCTTCATCACAGGCAATACAGACTGACTCCAAAGAGTGCCTTTATTCAGTGATCTAAGAAGAGTTTTTAGTTCCGTCTTGGTTATTTTGACGTACAATAGGTTATCATTTCAGTTCATTAACACAAGTTGTATCCATTAGTGATATTCACTATCATCTTCACAACTTTATGATCAATGCTGTTTTAAAGAACAATTCAATTATCGATGGTTGAGATTGCAACTAAGCTAATGAATTCCAGTCTATCAAACTTTGGATACACCAATTTCTACGTTTATTTTAATAAAGGTGTTTGAATACCCCTTGTTAGAGTGATAGTTTAATAGTTTAAGCATTCATGTTCCAAGCAGTAGGTTGGAAACTTGTAATCCATTTAACATATTTTGATTTGGCCATTCGAGCAGTATTATCAGCTTTCACATTTAAAGTATGCCTCAAAAGTTATGTACTATTCTTAATAAGTCAGTCACATGTAACATTGCTTACTTACGCCTGTTACTCCCAATAAAGCATAGGCCGCCGACCAGCATTACTTTGATAAAATAAGAATGGTAGTAATAATAAGCATTATAATATAATTGGCACAGCTTGTATACTCTTAAATCTTATGATCAAATAATTGATTTTAATTAATTGTAGAGTTTAGCTTCACGATTGACATTATTACAAAATGCTGAAGAGATTTATCGTCAATCAAAGAATGATTTTATGGCTCAGGTAAGCATATGAGTTAAAAAGTTACTTGTATCTATGGTAAGAAGGTCAGTAGTGATAATGATAATAATACAGTGAAAAGCCAAATATAGAGAAAATACATGAAAAAGAACAAATGAAAACTCAAAATTTAGAGTAAAGTGAAAAATAAGTACAATTTTGGCTAACATTTATCACTCTAAGCAACAATGCAAGCATGTTCGGGATGCGATTCTCTCCCTCGAAATGCAAAATGTTGCTTCAGGATTGGGTTACATCGACACCCGAACTAGTGATAGGGAGTGAAGTAGTTGAGTGTGTCGACCGCTTCAATTATCTTGGAAGTCTCATCAGCCCTTGTGGTCTGGTGTGTGACGAAATCTCAGCACGGATACAGAAGGCTCGACTAGCTTTTACCAACTTGCATCATTTATGGCATAGGCGAGATATCCGTCTATCAACCAAAGGACGTGTTTACTGCGCAGCAGTTCGTTCCGTCCTACTTTATGGCAGTGAAACATGGCCGGTAAGAGTAGAGGATATCCGTAGGCTACTAGTATTTGATCATAGGTGTCTTCGAAACATTGCTCGTATATCGTGGGACCATCGAGTAAGTAACACAGTTGTTAGGAAACGGGTACTAGGTAAGGATGGCAAATCAATTGATGACGTAGTGAAACTTCATCAGTTGAGATGGCTGGGACACGTGTTACGTATGCCCAACGACCGACTGCCTCGACGTGCTATGTTCAGTGGTATAGGAGTAGGTTGGAAGAAAGCTAGGGGCGACCAAACCAAAACATGGCACAAGTCCATGAAGTCACTGACAAGTGGTCTGAGTCATGTCGGTAGGTGTAGACTACCTGGTTGGGGACCGCGAGATGATAGCAACCGATGGTTAGAGACCTTGAATGACATGGCTCAAAATCGTTTGCAATGGCGCAGGTGCATCCACTCTCTGTGTTCTCCCAAATTCTAATCTCCTTATTCCTCCTTGTCTCTTTTTTTCTCTTCCGAAATTTATTTCACTGTATTATACTCTTTAAGTAACATCTCCAAACCCTAATCTTCCCGATCACTGCTTATACTCTGATTACCTCTACCACTACGGGATTTGAATGGACCACTGCATTTCTGTGCTAATGTGGTGTGGCAACTCGAACTGATGTACATACGTACAAAGTTCTACGTTGTTACTGACTGACTAACATTTATCACCATGAATTACAATCATTAAATGAACCTCTCATCCAAGAACTCTCCATGTTATCATCTTTCATGTGTTCATACTTGTTGAGCATAACAGATGTTATTTACGAAATATCATGATATTTCCATCCTTAACTACTTCATATATTTGTTTGAAGAGAGTTATTAGAGGAGTTATTTAAGTTTAACACCAATTTATATACATAGTAATATTAGCAAATATTGATTTGAAACATAAATAGGGCATTTACCATACAAAGATAAATAAATAACCTTCAAATATGTATGATAATACATGGTACCATTCCAGATAACTCGTGGAACTATTTCATGACGAGAAAACAGGAAATACTCTGATAAAACATTTTGACAACAATAATTAGGATATAGTTTACGGTATATAATACGAGAAATATATATCTTCTGTTTATTTTTAAGTCAATAACTGGGAACTAACCGATGTGCTTGGTTTAGTGTAACTGCATAATGTGTAGTGTAATACATCACCAACTTCTGGATATCATTAACATGAACTGTTCAAGTTTGTTTTTGAAATAATAGACTAGTCATCAGTATTTAAAATATGCTTTCTACGCGTCAACATTCACCGTCTGTGTAGTACCATTCCGGATCCATTTAAATTCTATCCCATTAAGTTATTTATGTTTCCACACTCATTAAATTTACTGAAATATTAAATAGAGATTATAACTATTCGGATTTCGTTTCTGCTTTTCTCTGTGTCAGCAATGTAACGCACAAGTTCGTCTATTGAAATTTCAAAGTAAACTTGAGAAACAAGAAATATCTGCTCCTGTCTTCGAAATTAAATCCATACCCGGCTCTAATCGTATATTACCCGAGGTAGTACAGTCTGGTAGTATAAATGAGAAGCTTTGGGTTGGTCAGTCGCTAAACACAACACTCAGTCGTTTGTTAGCTTCCGGGCAATCCGAACGTCAAGCAGATCAATTACGCAGAGAATTTAGAGTTTCAGAAAAACGTTTCGCTTTTCTTCGTGTTGTTGGTATGGCAATCAATAATGCATCTTGGTTAGAAATGGATAAAATGATTCGAGCAAAAAAACCACCGGTTAATGTTGAAGTACCCAATAAAAGCCTTAATAATTGTTTTCTAATGATTATTCTTTGTTGTGTTATAATCTCCACTATTTTGTTTCTCAGTGAAAGCACTCAAAAATATCCTAGTTGGGAGTTTTAAGTATGCTAATATTCGCGTTTGGTTTTTTATTTTCTATTAGCACCATAAGATTAGACAAGATGATATTTCTTAATACTGAATAATCAATAAATTGTAATTATCTCAGCCCTGCATTAGATTAATGTGTGGATCGAATAGCTCAATCGTAAAGTTTTAGGTCGTGAATTTTGATGATATGGGTGTGAATCCCACAGGAAACACCAGTTCCTTCAAAATTGGAATTACACCTTAATACCGAGCGCCAACTAGAACGAAACATATATCCAGGGTTTTCTGCCGACTACATCAAACTACCGAATACCGGTTATTTTTTATTTATTTAAATGTTCATAGAATCCATTGTACATCACAGTTCTCTTATCTAATTGACGTTTAGATCAGTGTTAGTAGATTCTTAGCAAAAGATAACAGCTGACAATACATCAGTATTTAGTTGAGGTAGTTTTGTGGAGGTTAAACTCATTTGTTAGTTGGGTACCATTGGAAACTGGAGGGTATTTGACTCCTTAGCAATGTACAACCAAGCACCCGCTCGAGGTCGAAACCAGGACCTGCAGGTCTCGCGGCAAACGCTTAAGCATTAGTACCACTGGGTACAATCTCATTTCCAATCAGTTCGCGATATAGCGCGACGATCATCCAATACCATTAGCGACAACTGTGTTACTTTCGACATGTTTGAACTGTACCATTCAAGACTTCACAGTAGAATTTGATTAATATATTGAAATCACCAGTAAGCTGACTATTACAGTTTGGTTGAGTGATTTTATGGGGATTAATTGTATTTGTAGATTGTATTCCTCACTTAAATATAATAAAGTTGTCAGACAACAGGCTTGCTTTTTTAATATAGGATCAAGATATGGCATAATGAGGAATTTGAATTTTTAACAAAAATATGGTAGTTATCGAGAGCACATTAAATGTTAGTTAAGCAAAAATGGTTAATAAAAGTTTCCACAGAATAAGCTAGATCAATGCAAACTAAACACTATAAATTTTAATTTCCTAGACTATAATGAATGAAATAAGTCACTTGACCGATTGGAATACACACAAGTAGGGTTTCGCACTCCTAATTGAAATGGTCTGTTTAATCCTAAATCGGATTCTATATTTAACAGAAAGAACAAGCAGCTTTTATTATTTATATCACATAATATGTCACATTAATTTTCAATCAAGTATTCGTATCTTCTACTTCATTCTTAGTTTGTTTGAAACGGTAAAAAGCAACAATTAGAGCAATGACTTGACGTGATCATCATTCAGTGACTTATGGGTTCTTACCTCCCCTTAATCTAACTATATTCGGTTCCACGCAGGTATTCTATAACTACTGGCTACCGCATTGCAAAAATAATTGCTACTCAAAACTTAATCAATAAGTTAATAGAAAGTTTTATTTTAAATTTTAAGCCATACTTCTTTAGTCGCAATAAATTCTTATTATTTTTATTATACAAAAAGATATTAATCAAAATTTGTATCGACGGCAATCGTATAGACGAAGCGATAAAACTAATTTCTAAACTTCCACCTGAACGAACAGTCCGTTTCTGGGTAATGACTGGGTAAGCAATCTTTTTTTGTTAATCACAGTACTATAGAATCATTGATTCTAACCAATTATAGCTATGACAATATTAAAAATAATCAATAATTTTACGGGACTGAAAGATCTTCGTTGTCTATTTACATTGTTCTTAGTAGTGTATAAATAAGAGAGAACAAAAAGTAATTACAATAATAAAAGTGAAATACTGACTTTGTTCTCTAATTTATAAAATTTCATAAAGTTATCTACTAGAAGGAAAAAGTCCAGTGCTGCTTGATTTTCAATGTTATCTCAAACAACATTAATCTGTAATAAATACAACCTACAAAATATATAGTAATCATGATTAAGTCTCGTAAAAATTTATTTCAACAATTTAAGATCTATGGAACTAAGTTGTGTTTTTTTTAAACAAGAACGTTCCGTTTTGTTTATTCATCTCATAACTTTTTATTTTACGTACAACTGTTCACATGTTATAGTCTATAGACTTCACATGAGTTTATGCACACAGTAAGAAAAAAAACATACACAGGTTACATCTTAAAAGATTGAAATGATAATCCAAATATCTTCTTGCGCAAAACAATCAAAAGTAGGACTGAATATTCACAGTTTTAGCTGATTAATTTGCTTTCAGTGAATGGAATTGATGTATTTTTTTTGGGGGGGGTATATCTGGTAAGATACTTTATCTTAATGAAATCATTTAAGAATATTGCATTTTACTTCGATTACTTAAAAAGGAGAATCGAAGAAGCCATTCAAGTAGCGGTTCGTGAGAAATCAGAATATGATTTATTGTATATTCAGCGTGAAGTTGGAAAAACCAACAAAGAATTATATGATCGGATTACTAATCTACGAGCACAAATTCAGTGATGATTTATATTTTAACACATAAATAACTGGAATTTCTCTGAAACGATGTTAGTTTTATCTACGTCCAATCTTTGTTTTTTTTGAAAGAACAAACCTATCTATTTTTTATCCTTTATGATTTACTTCATCAAACTTGTAAATACCGACTTGTGATCGATTGATTTTTTCTATTGAACTTCTTTCTTCTATTGTACACACTGATTGTGTCATTTTTTTGCTTAATAGTAAAACCTCTCATAATCCTTATCTGAACATTTGACTTTGTAAACAAAATACTACTGTTACAACAAAATTATTTCCAGTTATTATTTAGTTACACTTGTAGGAGGGGAGACAATAGAGGTATTTATCTGGTTAATCGAAATAAGTCTTTTTCTTTTAATTGCGTAGATTGATTTCATCAGTATGAAATCAGTGACTAACAAGATTCGAATTGAAGTTGTTGAGTGAAGTGACATTTTCTTTCAATTAGCTCTACACTAATATATGGATTTTACAACTGAGAATAAAGTCAATTCATTGAAATCACAAGCCGATCAAAGATAATCAACCACTCAAAACCCGGAAACATTGAATGGTCGCTTCATCTTATGGGACTGATTTCATTTTTAATTGTAAAAACTTGTATAGTAGTGAGGATTCATGACGAGAAATAATTTGTAAATAAATATTTCTTCGTTTAACCTGTACTTTTACCAAGATTCGATCTCTCAATCTAAGTGTTTCGTCTAAGTAAGATTGTCACACGGTAACAGCACGAATTTATTTAGGAGCCGAATCATTACACGCCCGCCACGTACGGGCTCTTGAACAATCAAGTGACCGTAAATGTTTATTGTAAAGAAAAAGCAGAATAGTTTGTAACAAAATAATTTATTTGAAATAAACTATATACAAAATTGTTTATGGAATTGATGGAATACGTTCAAGCAGTAAAATAACTTCAGTATGCAGAGTTTGTGGGAAAAGATCGACAGCCTCAGCCATAGTTGGAACAAATGGTATTCCTGTGAATTTCTTGGAACAAGGTCTAGCAAAACTGAAATCATGGAAAGAAGCATGACATAGAATTTTAAAAAAGTATGATTACACAATAAGTAAAATTATTTTAATGTAAAAGCCTATAAATATCATTGCTTTCTGTACCTACATTCCAGAAGTACAGATCCTTTCATATTTTACGCTTTTTGTCTTTTGTTTGAGGCCTAATAGATAGTCAATTTCTGGGGGACTAAACAGTTGAAAAGTCAGTACCTAGCGCTTCAGTATTATGTGAACCGATCTTAAACCAGCAATAAATACAAGTACTGATGTGGTTTATCTCTATCCGGTATTTAGATGATTCCATTTGTTTCTAGCTAGTTGAAACTTCTCAAGTGTTAAAATCGCTCTTTCAAATATAAAGTATTCCTAATGCACACAAACATAAAACTTACTTTAAAAAATTTTCTACAGCATATTCAATATTACAGGAAATATAGATAATTCTTTGAATTTTTTTACAATTTCTCAACAGTTGAATAACAGAATGATCTAAAATGAATAAGAAAATAATAAGAGTAACGATAAAGATAGAGTTACTGTTGAGGTTTAATAAGAATCCCTTGATAAGATCTTTAGGAACCGAATCATTACACGCCCGCCACGTACGGGCTTTAGAAAATGGACGGATTGTGTCAAACTCTGTGTACCTACTATGTCATGGTTTTAGAAGTTTTCAGAGTTTAACAGCTATCAGTAGACACGAAAAATAAGCTTGATTTTGCTACAGAGACGGATCTTAAGCTTTTATTTATATTTTGTGCCTTTCATCTATTGTGTGGGTTCAAGTGTGGTAGTACGGAGTTATAAGTGGCTAGGAATTCCGTAACAAGGATTGAAGCAGCAAACTCGTCAGTTATCAACCACAGTAAGCTGATCTTTCAGTATAATTGTGGTGACAGTGTATAAGACAAATAGTGCGAAAGAAAACAATGGAATCGATTAGCCGTTGGCGATTTTCTGTTCGGTAGTCGTTGTGCGCAAAAGATATGTTAATATTCGGTGGAGATATAGTGCTACTAATGTTAATTTCTTGAGACACATGCTCAAGCACAGTTGGAATCACCATTTTATCAAAGAAATCAACATAGAACACTGAATTTGATAGCTCAAACAATTTCGACGTATTTTATCCGGCGGGTATTATATCTTCTGACACTATAACCAGGTGCAAGGTGTGATCAATTTTTCGAGCAGTCAGAACAAGTGACTGTTTGAATAGGTTTGTTCATTACATGCCATCATTGACAAAGCAAAAAATTATTAATAACTCGGAATTAATTACTAAACTAAATAAGAAACCAACAACTTACGTAGACCAGCTCTTGGAGGATCAACTACAACTGACAAATCATAGCATTCTGATAAACTGTCTATAGTATTTCGTAAGATATTCTCCGCTTTACCGGCAAAAAATTCAACATTCTGGATATCTGTTAGCAAGAAAATAAATGTGTAGAATTATTTTTGATAGAGGGACTGGATTGTAACATGAGATAGACAAAACAAACAGATTTAAATGTGAATTATGTTCAAAACTGATACACTTAAAGGAATTTAAAAAATATTAATAACCATAACATATTTTCAGTAAAGGGTTTTGTGGAGATTTTAGAAATTTCAATAGTTGAAATCATGAGTCGACTGAAGCTAGAACACCATGGAAAACTTGGAAGCACTGGACGGCCGTTCCGTCCTAGTATGGGACTCCTCAGCAGTGCTCATCCACGATCTCCCCGCGAGATTCGAACCCAGGACCTATCAGTCAAGAATGAAAGATTTCTAGTTAATTTAAAACAATTTACAGGGCTTCAAATGTTAACTGAAAAGTGGGTAACGGGATTTTGAGACCCACGGAAAATATCAGTTTCAGTAAGATTGGAGATTTGATTTACTGTGTTTTTTATCGTACAGACAATACACGTTAAGAGATTAAATGAAGTTGTTTCATAGTTTGGATCATAGACTGAACCTAGATAATCAATCAAATCCAGAAAGCACTGGACAGCCGCAATTCTACTGGGACTAAACCCGAGACTTTCCGATCTCCCAGTGAGCACTTCAGCTTTAGACCACTGGTCCGACATCCAAATTAATTTGCAGTATTGTGCAGCGATCTTTCTCTGTCTTTAATGTACCACTGTCTTTCACTTCATAAGACTGAAAATAGTTCTACTAAACGTACAAGAACGCCTTCAAGATATGACGGAATACACGTTAATACGAATGAGATTCGTTTCTCAATCATCGATATTTAATTTAGAATCTTATTAAATAAGATAATTACTTCACTATGAATGCGTTAGCTAAAGTCATCTTAACAAGAAATAACTCATCTTCAAGGCTCCTAAAAATATCGAAACAGATTTTATGGGTCAAACATGATAATATATTGACAAAAGGGATAGTCAGTTTACTATCTATCTGCAAAACTATTCAAGAATCAGACACCTTTGTCATAACTCATAAAAATGTCAGTGGACATAAAAGAAGGTAATCCGTGTCGGATGTAAGGCAGTTACCCATCGAAGACAATAAAAGATGGTAGTGCAGTATCGTGGATTGAGGTTAGATATTAGCACTGTTAGGTACCAGATCAGTGGTCTAGAGGTTAAGCAGTCGAGCACGAAACTGAAGGTTTTGGGTTAGAATCGCGAATGTTGTATCATGGATGCGCACTTCTGAGGAGTCTCGTAATAGGACGAAACGGCACCCAGTGCTTCGGGTATTCGATGGTGGTCTAACATTGACTGATTCATGATATCAATCAAAACTTAACAATCTCCACAATTCCATACTGATAGTTGTTTGAATATTTTCTTAATTCTTTCACAATAATTGTCTCTTATTAATCTACGTTTAGATGTTGAACTCGACTTAAATCAAGGCCTCTCTCATACATAAAGGCTGTCCATCGTTTTGTTTTTAAGCAGTTGATAATATTGTTTCTAAATTGTAAGGAACTATAAAGAGAATCTATGAAATAAATAGATAAGTGCATGAATTACATTGCTATGTGTGGTATTGTCATTTTACTGAAATTTTTTGCACCAAATGTGAAATTTAACGAAGCTGTTCGAAAGATAAGTGTGATGAATAATCTACATTGTTATCCATATTAATACATTTTTTTCTGAAAGTTCTTATTCAATTAATTGTGTGACAAAGTAATATAACTATCCACACAGGAGAGATTCATGCCTAATCTAATTGAATTAAAACGACAGATTATTTGTTCGGCAGAAATATTTCCAGGACATTTGTCAGTCGGCCAATAAATAATCAGTGTATTGACTGTTATAGATAGGCTAAGGATTTATTTTCTTTGACCAACACAAAGAAAAACTCGTAACCATTTTGAAAGTAACAAAATTGATACACAAGTTCAAGTGGATTTGTTGAGTTCTTGAATAGTGAACGGATCTTAGTTAGATCGCAATCGAAAAATTAAAAGTACGGGACTCCCTGGGAGTGTGTACTTATGACCCCTCCAACTGAGAACGAAATACATTGAGTCTCATGCGTGAACGCTTAATCTCTGGACCACTGAGCTGGTATCGAATGATACACATGTTTGACATCAGTCAGTTTACAGAATTGAGCAACCCACATCGATTGCTTGGGTTTGGTAATTGTCTCACATTCGACATGGTCGTGACCAGTGGATTTCAACCATATAGGTTGTGAGACAGTTATCCATCACAAATGTGATATATATATATATATATATATATATATATATATATATATATAAATTTTAAAAAATCTAATCATACATTTAAAAAACAGTACCATTCAATTCTGCGTTTGATTTAGCATCTTCAATTGCACTGTTACACATATCAATACCAATTACACGATCGAAATGCTGAAAATATTATGAAAAAATGAGTGGTAAATTATTGAATAAGTCGCTAATAAATGCGCTCAAGAAATATGTGTCGTATTACAGTGTTAGGGAAGCGTGATGAAGTAATTTTATTGAAACAAAATGATATCATTTTAATCTTTAAGTTTCGTTCTAAATTATTGATTCTTCAATCACAACTGCTAATTCGGAATTACATTTCTATTGTTTAGCTTTATGATGCAATAGGTTTTTATGTTTCCCGTCTTGTATTTCATGCCCTGTTAATTTCATTTCCTATTTTGCTGATGGAGGATATGGAAATCTCGACTGATATTTATTAACTGTGAGTAATTATCTCAATAAATATTGATATATTCGTGCACTATGCTAATAGTTTGCGACATTGACATCA